AATTCTTCTTTTAAATTCATTGCACCTACCTTAGAAGCCACCAGCAATATAGGGAGGTGCTGAGGAGTGAGACAGTGAGTGAAGTGAAGGAGCATCCAGCAGTGAGATGCTTTGTGACAGGCAGACTCAGGGACCTCTGTGGGATTCTATCACAACTGCTTGTTGCAAAGCAGGAAAAGGCTGGACATATGTTTGACTTGCTCTCCAGCTCCTTGCAAATCACTAACTATGTCACTGGTGCTGCCTGGATTCTAAGGAGGGTTTTTTGAGGGTCACATCAGGAGGGTCACATCAGGAGATGTGCATGCCATGATTGAACACTGTCATTGTTAAAAAACAACAACACTTCATTTATATACCGCTTCATACCAAACTATGCAGTGTCTAAGTGGTTTACAACTATAAGCTCGTTGCCCCCCAACAAGCTGGGTACTCATTTTAGCAACCTCAAAAAGATGCAGGCCTGAGTCAAGCCTGAGCCCTGGCTAGTACTGAACTCACAACCTTGTGGTTTATGAGTGAGTGGCTGCAGTACAGGCATTTAGTCACTGTGCCACCAGGGCTCAGGCTTGATGATTGTAGAACCATCTTCTGATGCAGGATCTTATCCAAAACGTCTGCTAGCTTTCAAAGCAAAAATTTCTTAATCAGACAAAGATGTTTAAAAACTTAAAGGGGCAAAGTGAAGAGGATGAGGAACGACTTAGGGAGCTGGGGATGTTTAGCCTGGAGAAGAGAAGGCTGAGAGGTGATATGATAGCCGTGTTTAAATATTTGAAGGGATGTCATATCGAGGAGGGAACAAGCTTGTTTTCTGCTGCTCCAGAGACTAGGACCCGAAACAATGGATGCAAGCTGCAAGAAAAGAGATTCCACCTCAACATTAGGAGGAACTTCCTGACAGTAAGGGTGGTTCGACAGTGGAACACACTCCCCCGGAGAGTAGTGGAGTCTCCTTCCCTGGAGGTCTTTAAGCAGAGGCTGGATGGCCATCTGTCAGGGATGCTTTGATTGGGAGTTCCTGCATGGCAGGGGGTTGGACTGGATGGCCCTTGTGGTCTCTTTCAACTCTATGATTCTATGATTCTATGATTCTATGATTCTATGATGTGTTAAAATCTACATGCGGGCTTGGGATGGGATGGAAGAACAGCCCTGTTCAGACTTTCAACTAAGGCTGCATCCACACTGCAGAAGTAATCCAGTTTGACACTGCTTTAACTACACTGGCTCAATGCTATGGAATTCTGGGAATTGTAATTGGCTGTAGTTGGGGCCATAGCATTGTATCAGGGCAGTTAAAGTGGTGCCAGACCAGATTACTTCAGCAGTGTGGATGCAACCATAAGCTAATGAGACAGCTAACTTTTTCTATTTCAGAAGCTAGTCCACTGAAATCTAGCCAATCTAGGTTTCATTTTTCAACAGGATCAGTAGTTCAAGGACTTCCACTCAGTGCTATACTTCTAGGAAGATGGGAACAAATGCAATTCACAGGATGCAATCATCTTGATGGAAGTGGCATCTTTGTAGACATGAGGCTTGTGAGAAAATGCTCACTTTACTATGAGCATCTGTGAGGCTTACAGAGCATTTCCAATAAATGGACACAAAACAATTCACATATTTTCAAAATTCTAACAGCTAATATGTTCTTACTAGGAGAAAAATGCAGAGAATCTAGCTGTGGTCCTGGAATATGAATTATTGAACCTTTCAGACATTGGTGGTCCCATATTCCTACCTCTGTTTTGGTCAATTGTGGAAAGTTATGTAAACTATATAAACTGCATGAATACATTCTGTGAATGAGAGAAAAATCATTTTAAAAAATGCACAAATATTGGTTAAAGAAAGTAGGAAATTTCAGAACCTGATATATATAAAAAAAGGAAAAATGCAGATGGGAGTCAAAGAAACTCAACAAAATTCAAATTGGATTTGAATACTGAGGTCAAATAGAATCAAACTGCAAGAAAAGAGATGCCACCTAAACATTAAGAAGAACTTCCTGAAGGTAACAGCTGTGACAATGGAATGGACTGCTTTGGGTGCATAGTGGACTCTCTTTCATTGGAGATCTTTCAACAGAAGTTGAATACAAATATCTCAGGAATGTTTTAGCTGTGTTTCCATGCATGTTAAGGAGCTAGACTGGATGGTCCTTGGGGTCATTTTTAACTCTACATTTCTATGATATTAACACTGAAAGATTTTTTTACATCCCTACACATATGTCACAACCTGAATTGTATTCAGTTTGTAGCCAGAGAAAAATTGTCCCAGACAACTTCATAAAAATCCCCATTAAGTTTCAAACATATTTTTCACCCTGGTTCAGGTTTTACATTTGAGATTCTACATCCCAGCTCCATGCATATGTTATACCTCTAGCCAGAGGCCTGCACTTGCAGAGAACCAATTTCACAGCAAAATGACTGGTTGTCCCAGTAGGAGCAAAGCTCTCTGTTCTCTTTTTTATTTATTATACTTATTTTGTCATCTCTGATCTGGCCCCATATTTTGTTTCATTGGCACCTGGAGGTTTTTTCATATTTCCACCAGTGGCTGTAGCACCACTGCAGTAATTGGGATTGCTATTTAAATAGATTATCTGTGATATTGTTCAATTCTCTAAAATAAGAAATGAAATGAAAAGAAAAAGGCTTCTGTACCATCTAAGGAAAATGCACCCTTCATTACTGAGTCCAACGCTTCTGTTCTGGCCAATGTCATGGTAACAGCAATTCTCTTTGATTGGCAGCATACCCGTCTGCAGTCTCCTTTATCTGCATGAATATTTTAAGTCAGTTTTCTTCACAGGCATTTATTTTCTTTTTGGCATGGTAACATTTTCTTCTCCTCCTACTGCAAGTTAGCAAAGGAAAATTGTCTCTCTGATTTCATAACTTGCTTCTTCTCTTCTCACCTCAAGCTGTTCTTTTTAAAGTCATGCATGATTAGAGCCAAGAAGCAATGAAGCTTCTTTAGGTGTATTCAGTGGGATTTGGGATATGGTTTAAAAAAAAAAAACAGAAACAGTACATCTATCCTACTGAATGCCATCAAACAACCTGCTTTTGAACCTCTGCTCTGACTCCCCTTCTCATTTTTATCTGCCCAAACAAGCAAGCTGCTGCTGCCACTATGTGGTTTCTGCCACAGGAAAACCTTGGCTCTCTAGATATTACTGCCTTCAGCATCTCCAATCTCT